TTTGAGACATTATATGCTAATCCAAAATAAACTTCAAAAGTGTATATTCAATACAAGACACACGGGAATTTGTGTCAAGCACACTTTAATTTACGTAAACTAAAAGTTTTTAAATAATTACTTAAAATAGTTTTAAATAATTTCAATTGATTACAGAGATCTGAATAATGACATTAATATAATGCATTCATAGTAATATACAGTATACATAGGTTTAATGTTTAAATAATTAATGAATGTTCTGGGTAACTTATTCTTAATTATAGCTTATAAGTGTAGTCCACAATAATAATCACGAATACCTTCTACTAAATTAGTGCTAATAATCATTAAGCCTATAATTATAAGAATTTTTGTTAAGTATAATGTTAAGTCATTTTCACACAATAAACACAATTTAGACTGAACTTATTATACTATTAAATGGGCATAGGTGCAAACATTAAAACTGCCTATAAATAGACAAATTAAGTTAAATATCACAGAAAAACATTAACAATAATGACTATACGGTACATAAATATGGATTTTATATTTAAACAGATTTTGAACTAAAAAACATATTTTAAGACCAAAACTAGTTCTCAAGTCTAACACACGATTCAATGGATTTAAACACAACCAGTACTGGGATTCAAACCCTTGGCCTATCCCCTGGTCACACACCCGGCGCACTAGCCATGGCTTGGATTGACCTAAAATTCAGCGGACAGTCAGTCCTACCCTGGAAGCCACCGAAACACATACTCAATGGGATCAGCGGATCGATAGATTTCGGGAGCCTAACCGCCCTTATGGGGCCCTCCGGGTGCGGAAAGTCTACTCTATTAAAGTGTATTAACGGCCGAAATATGGAGGGCTTAGACTTGGGCACCAAAGTCTACCTAAGCTCAGCGAAAAAAATCCGCTCCTGTTTTATAGTGCAGGACATAAAGGAGCACCTGGTGGTCGGGTTAACCGGCATCCAGTCCCTCATGTATGCCTCGAAGCTGAAGAATGCCGGAGAGCACCAGGAGGTGAACCATAGGAAGTACGCTCGAAAACTGCTGTCCGACCTCTCGATAGGTGACACCGAGGGTACAAATGTGGAGAACTGTTCGGGCGGTGAGCAGAAACGACTGGCCATCGCCCAGGAGCTCATGGCCCTCAGGAAGCCTAACCTCATGTGTATAGACGAGCCCACAAGCGGTCTGGATAGCAATTCCGCCGAAATTGTGAGCAATAAATAAGACACGCCTTTCCTTATGATTTACTGATTATAGGCTATCATCTCATATGGACAGGTAGTACAAGTGCTGAAGCGGTTGTCCCGACAGCACGAGATCGCGATCGTCACGAGTATCCATCAGCCAAATTACGACACTCTCATGATTTTCGATGGGGTGTATGTGTTGGCTAAGGGAGGCCTATCTGTCTACTCCGGACCCCCTCTGGAGGTGCGCGCCCACCTAAGCGCGGCTCATTTTGAGTGTAGTGAACACCAGGTGCCCATCGAAGTGCTGCTGAGAATAGCCTCCAAATACGGCTCTAATGTCCAGCGGCTGTCCCACCAGTCCATGAAAGCCAAGAGTGAACTGAGGCACCAGTACCTCGCGGAGGGCTACCTGGCGCCTACTGGAGTCGCCAACAAAGGGAACACCTTTCAGTTGCGGCAAATGTGGTATCTATTGGCCCGGAATATAACCTGTCAGCTCCGGTCCCAATGGAAACTCCTTTCCGTTCAGTTTGTGTTCATTCAGGCCATCGGTTTACTACTGACCCGTCTGTACAACAAACACATCGGCGAACCGGACGGGTGTTTCTCATTAGCCATGAAAGCGAACGCCAGTTGCGTAAAGACCGTGGAGGGGCTCCGGGAGGAGAGCCTACTGTTCCAGAACCTCCTGTACCTGTACTTCTCGGGCGTTTTGTTGATGATATTGGTGTCGGTGTCGACTGTCCTCCTGTTCTCGTCGGAGATCAAGATCTTTATGAACGAACGCATGAACGGTATGTCACTATCGCACCGGTATTTACTATACTATCGCTAAAAACGCAATTTATACGGGCATGGTAGGTTGGTACAGCACCGGCTCCTACTTCATGGCTAAAAATATCTCAGAAATACCGACTTTCTTAGCCATTGTCATCACATTTGCACTCATGGTCTACAAACTCATCCCACAGATCGACGACAACCATCGTTTGGTAGGCTTTCTGGCGGTGATTTTAGGCGGCGCCTTTAGCGCCCAGAGTCTCGGCTTTCTAGTAGGCATAGTCACCAATGGGAACTTCCGGATGGCCATCATCATGGAGATTGGCCTACTAATAATGCACGTGTTTTTGAGCTTTTTCGTGCCCATACAAGAGCTCCCGGCGCTCGTGCGGCTCGTCCGGAGCATGTCGTTCGTGACGCAGACCTTTCAGATGCATTTGTATATCATATACGGGTTCGACAGGTGCCCGGAGGGGACGGTATCATCGATTTTGTATCAAAATGATTTGCTGGATGAGCGCGACTTTTGGCGTAATGTGCCATTACTTATATCCCAAGGGCTGGTGCTACGGGTGCTGGCGTTTTGGGCACTGTATGCCCGGACTAATGGCGTTAGTTTGTCATTGAGGGGTAGATCACAGAAAAAGTCTGTGAAAACACGATCCGATTCAGTCGATGAGGACTTGTATATGTGAGTGAGAGAGAAATACCGGTCCCCTGACAATAATGCTTTCCATAGTTAGTATCACATAAATTGTAACATTATTTACATATTGTGAGCAATCATTTGTTTCAATGCTTAGAATATGTCTACAGAATCGGTTGACTACTGGACTACTCGACCACATAATGTAATGTCAATTGAATGTCATTTTAGAGTTTAGTAATAGTTTGTAATTTATAGTCAATTACTTGCAAAACATTAAATTTCTGTTTGAATTGCTTTTAGTCCAAACGTTTATGAATTTTGTACTCTATATTAGATTTGAGTTTAAACTAATATTTATGAATATGTTGTCATTATTACTGTGTTTGTAAAATAAACTCAAGATTATGGATATGTGATGAGTCGAAAGCTTTTTTAAAAAAACTTTTGAAAAACCAATCCTTGGAAGCGATTCTTGAAATTCATTTCAATTGTTTAGTTTAGACGACCGCTACTAAGAAAACCCTCAGAGTGGTTAATAATAGGAGGCCCTCCCGGATGGGAAGCATACCCTCATCCCTCAAACTCATATGCAATGGCCGACCACTCCCTCAGATTTCCCGGTTTTGTTTGAATCGCAAGAATTCGTGACATATTTAAATCTCATTCAAACCAAACAATTGGTGACAAACCACACATGAAAGCAGAGTTTTACTCATTGTTTTGCTTTTCATGTTTTGCTCGCATTTCTCATACATTTCACTCACCGCTGCATTCAATGTAAGTCTCATTTGTTTGCATATCTAATGCATTCATTCATACCATTCATGTGATGGTCTTTAATGGCAACCGAAAACTGCAATCATTTGATGTTCTTGTAATGCATTCGTGGGGTTTAGACCACAATATATGCGACAGGAGTTGGGTGTAAACACATTTATTGATTGCCAAAAGTGGGTTATAATAGCTGACGGCTGACTACTAAAGGAAAGGGATGTGAGAGATAGATATACAGAGAATATCAATCAGTCGATAGCTGCGCCCTCAACATACAATGTGTCCGTTGATGGCTACATAACATTGCAATCAATGGTCACAAATGTATGACAACTTAACTGTTTGACGAAGTAAGGGAAACGTTTGTCCTTGCTTATGTAATCTATTTGTATGATAGATAAGCATTTTATCAAATGTGCTAAACTGACAATTATTTTGAGACATTCCTGACATAATATTTAATCACAGAGTTAATGAGACATTTAAACCATAAAAAGGGAAATAATTCAAAAAACGATACGATTTTTAGGTTCACTTCCACCTATAGGTTGACATTAAAAAAGATTTTCACTGAAATATATGACAAATATTTTTATCGCGTTTTGTTTCCATTAAACCCATTGAGGAGACCATTGAATCGCAAGATATTTAAATCTCATTCAAACCATTCAATTGGTGACAAAATCCATGAAAGCACTCACAATGGAGTTTCACTCATCGTTTTGCTCTCACTCGGCCTACATTTGACTCACCATTGCATTCACTGTATGTCTCTTCACGTGATGGTCTTTACTGACAATTAACCGAAAACTGCAATCATTTGGTGCCACAAGACATGTATCAATGAATGGATGTCTAAGTCATGTCGGGTCTGTCGCGAGAGAGAGAGAGAGAGAGAGAGAGAGAGAGAGAGAGAGCGGTTCCCGAGTGGCGGCTCTTAAACGGTATTCGACATGAGTTTGAGACCAAAGGAACTACACGTCTATAGCAGCCATGGCTATCGATGGCCACCAATGGGCTAATTATTGGCAAGTATATGGACTCGACCTCATGAGAGTGTCCTCCAGAAACACGTCTTACCCAGTGATGCCGTCCAATGTCCACGAAGTGATCGCTGATAAGGACGAGTGCGGGAAGACATAGGCGACGATTTGGTGACAATATGATGACAACAAAGTGGGGCACCAATTGCTGTCCCCCTCAAGCTTCGAGGCTTTGTCTTTGTTGTATTGGATCAGTTGTCTTGAAAATATGAATTATTTATCAAATAAAGTATTTATATAACAAATAACATAACAATTGATACAAACATCGAGGCTATAGGTGACGAGTGACTCGAAGTATGTCTTAGATTTAGTTTTGTGTTTATGTTTATCTAGTGTTAGATTGATATTAAATATCATTGAAAATAAAGTTTCAATTAAATATTTTAAGTTATAAAACTTATTAAAAGTTATTAAAAGTTATGAAATTAATTAAAATTAAAGGAATTTGCAATTTAAATAGTGGTTCTGGAGTGGTGGACATGGATAGCAATTTACATGATTATGCCAATAGAGGGAAAGACATGTTTAATAGGATATCACATTATATTAAATAACAATTTTTTTTATTTATTGGTTATTTAGCTTACAACAATTGTAATTGCTCATAATTAAATAGAAAAATAATTTATTCCAAATATTATTTGATTTGACAAGTTATTAAAATGAAGAAATACAAAGTACAATTTATTAATGAATAGGTTAAACATTTTTATTAAACAACTAATAGAGTAATAAATATTGTACATTAATTTATTGTAAAAATATTTAATGTTTACTTTACTAGGCTTTTCACGGCTACCTACCCCTTAAACTGGTAATTAATTTAATTAATTCATTATTACTTGTATTAATGTAATTCTTTATTGAGAATAAAATTTTATCAATTTAATCGATTCTTAAAAATACATTTAACAATAAATATAATCGTACAGATAAATACAATTCAAATATTATTAAATACATAATAGCGCATGTTCAAAAATAATAATTTTGCAAAAATAAAAAAACTAAAAGCGAAAAGCTCGTGCTTAGTTAGCATTGTTAATTACAGTTAAAAAAAACAATCCAGCACCATTCACAAACGCCGCATCCACGGTTTAACGCAGTGCTTAAACACTGGGGTGTATTCAGTACCCGCTTCCAGCATTACCGCGTGCTGTTGATAAATAGTATGGTACTTATCATAGTCGACGGATGTAGCCTGATCAAACAACGTGTTTAACTGCTCGGCCAAGCAAGCGACTATTTCTCCCTCCTTGCAGCTCTTGTTTCTCATAAAAATACATCCGCCCACGTAGTTGTGCAAGGTATATTTTAGGTGGACTAATTGCGAATCGCGGCTCAATCTTTTTATCTATTTTATTCGTACCACATCGTTTAGTAAATTGCGGACTTTCTTCTGGTTATTGTACATGCAGGGCGCTATCAAGTCGTGGCATGAGCCGGGTACAGGGTGCGAGGTTTGTCTCTGCGAGGTTGCGAGGTTCTGGCAGTTTTGTCCAGTGGCCAGTAATGTCACCGCGATTAACACGATTCCCGATAGGCGTAGCATTTCTGTGTTTGTGAATTAGCAAGATACGATTGTATGTCTATTAGATATTTAGACCAGTGCGTGAACTCTGCTTTTATGAGCGGGTGAATCGCATGAAAGCAGACCTCATCTACTGGTTTCGTAACGTAAATTTCTAATAGATTTTACACACTTACTGTAAATAATTTAATTTTGACTTTAAATTATTACCACAATAATGGCGGCAAAATGTGTCACAATATGGGAAATGTTAATAAAATTTCTATTTATATTGTATTAATTATTAATACAGAATTAATATTAATTTATATGCTATGTATAATATATTCTGTAATTCTGAAGTTTATTTAGAGCATAGACGTCCAAAATTTTAATAATCCACAAATTAATGTTTTATAATATTAAGAAACTTATTAACTATTCTAAACACTAATATTTTATGAATTAAAAGTGACTAAGATTTGTTTTGAAAACATAATTTTCATTTTGAATAATAATATGAAAATGAAACAACAAAATGTTATTCAAAGTGATTTTAAATAAACCATAAAAATATTTGAGAGAATAAGTAAACTTTCAATGATTTATCACTTTGTTTAGAAATATTATATAGTAATGCATTGACACATAATTTAATCCAAAGTTATACCTTGCAATGAGTAATAAAAATTAATATCAATTTGAAAAGTTATTATTAATATTAATGTATAATTCCTGATTCATAAAATACTAGTGTTGTAAATATAATATTAATATATTAGATGCATACATCGTTAGTTGGCCGCAAATGGTCATATCTGTGTGTCTCTTATTTAGAGTATTATTACTAATAAATTTTTAAATGATTTTCAAGGTATATTATAACTCGACAAATAATAATAATCTTGATTACTGTAGTCAGTACACAGTGCTAATATGATGATGCATATTGAAATACATATAAATAGGTTTATTATTATAGTAAATTAGGTTTATAATTTAGCGGTATGTAAAAAATAAAGAAATTTAATTTAAAATCAACCAGATGTTTTATATGCAGTCAGTGGCAAACTAGAATTAAATGTAGCATGAATGCTTTAAACATTAAAAATAAGTTGAATTATGAAATACTGTAACTTAATATCGAGAGAATAGTAAATGTTTAATTATAATGATAGGAATTTTCACTTAATAAATTGGTACTGGAGTTGTGGACATGGATGTCTGTTATGTAATGAGACAATTACAGTGAAATACATGTCATGATTCAAACCCGCATTCAATTACAGTCAATTGTACGGTATATCATAACTAACACTAAATTTTCATTTTTTTTATTAAAGGTCAATATCCAAACTACTTAAATAATATTACTACGAATTAGATTGCATTGAGAGATACTGAGAGCACGGGTAGCTTTACATATCCTTATTCATACTGACAATTATTGTGAGCAATCATAGTTACCCATAAACGGCACCGACATTTTTTGCAACCCTCGAGGGCCAACTATCACTTGTATGTGTATTAAATGTAGTAATTATAAATTATTCAAAATTTTATAAAATATTTTAACAAATTTTGATGATTTACAAATAATATATTAAACAGTTTAGTGTTGGGATAGTTATAGAGCTTAGACGCACAGATATGGTTTCCAGAAACCAACTAGTGATGTATGCATTTACAATATATTATTATTTAGGCTGAGTATACACAACACTAGTATTTTAAAGTTTATAGTATACATTAAAGATTAAGGTAGCATTTAGTTAAATACTCATCAATATTACTTAGTTTTTCATATATGACGTACTTTCTCAAATATTGTTATTGTATGTTTAGAAATCTCTTACGAATTTGTATTTTAATCATTTATATATCATTTTTTGTTTAATAAATAAAAATGTTTTCAATACAAATCTTAGTCACATTTAAATCAGAAAATATTAGTGTTTTGAATAGTTAAAATTTTTAACATTATTATAAAACACTATTTTGGGGATTTTTAAAATTTTGAACGTCTATGCTCAAAACAATATCAAATTGAAAGTCACCATGAGCGTTCAATCCAAAATCTATAATATATTATTTACCCTAGTTCACCCGAGCACAGTTGAATCTGATTTTGGTAGAAAAAGTGCATTGCTGCAATATAATTTATTAAAACGTTTTCAACTTAAACAGTATAAACAAAATGTTTTTAATTATGAAAACTATACGTTAAAATGTTATTTAAAGTTTGCTAACGGCTATAATCTTAACTGTCCACGTGAGCTTGATACAATTGTTAAGACCTATAACGACCCCCATATTCATATTACGAAACATTATTTTTCAAATATTTCTGATGAATATGTTATGAATATTAGGAAAATAAATCATCCACTTGACCGTGTTGTGCTACAATTGAATAGTACCGGCTTATTTATGATTGTTGCATCAATATCAAGTAATCGTGAGTTATATCAATATATGAACAGGGGCCTTGAGCACTTGAAACTATGCGATATGCGGGTTTCAATATCGTATAGAAGGGGATTTGTATCAGTGTCAATTGATGTCAATTCACCGCTCATGACCATTCCCGGCGCCGGTATGCTGTAGTTTACATTTGGGCATTCAAATACGTACAGGTGTAAACTAGATTATATGTGTTTGACAAATATTTTTAAAAANCACTTGAAACTATGCGATATGCGGGTTTCAATATCGTATAGAAGGGGATTTGTATCAATGTCAATTGATGTCAATTCACCGCTCATGACCATTCCCGGCGCCGGTATGCTGTAGTTTACATTTGGGCATTCAAATACGTACAGGTGTAAACTAGATTATATGTGTTTGACAAATATTTTTAAAAATCATTTAAATTGCCCATGATTCTTTATTCTTAGTTGCTTTAACTAAAATTATGTATGCTATTTTTGAAAATATATTTATAAACCATTCTAAACTTTATCATAAGTTAGTATCATAAGCTTGTTGACTGAACCCTTAACTAGTATTGTGTACTGCATTGAATTCCAACCCTTATCTTAGTCCAGCATGGGAGGCATCGTTCACAAATCTATGGTGGGTGGGAGGAATAGTAACATTATTAATGAGTGTGCATAAAGTTATATAATTTTTAATAAATTAGGTGTTCACTGCAGGTAATAGTGACCTCCATTGACATACCATTCCCATTAAACTACTGTTCCCTTTAGGCTACTTAACTAAGTTATTCCCCCCACCCACCGTAGATTTGTGAACGATGCCTCCCATGCAGGACTAAGATAAGGGTTGGAATTCAATGGTGTACTCTTTAATACTCTTAATTAAATAAAATGTTTCCAATATTTATCATAGTTTATTTATAGTAACAAACATTGGGACATAATGGTAGCAAATATAATTAAATCATTATAAACAAAAAGTTTAATTAGACTTATCATTAATATTGAAACTAATTTATATGTGTGTAACATTAATTTGCTTATGTCACAAGGCAAAATTCAAATTTAATTTTACTGTATACCTATCTAATTTAAATATTTTTAAAAATTGTGCTTAACAACATTTTGTGACACTTGTTTAGTTTAAAT